GAGAGGATGTAAACAGGGTTTCCAGCTCCCAGGCCCCCACCCAGAGAGAAAATACAGAGAGGGAGGGCTGGGCATTCCCACAGTGGCCAGAAGGGAAGTCTGAAGTGGGGCTGTGCCTGCCCAGAGGGCGCAGGGTGGAGCAGCTGGAGCCTTTGGGTCTCTGGGGAAGACCTCCACCCTCCGGACAACTGGCTGGCGGGAACAGCCGGAAAAGCCCCCAGGGCTGGGCAACCCAGGGGATGAAGGGCCTGAGATGGGGGGTGTCAGGGCAGCCCCTTTGGGAGGGGGTGGGTGAAAGCTTCCAGTAACTGGGTAACCTCCTGCCAACCCCTACAAATCTGGGACAGCAGTCCAGGGGCTCTTTCTGACCAAAGGATTCTTCACTTGTGAAAGAGGGAGGAGCCTTTTCCTAACAAAGAGTGATTTCTAATACCCAAGAAATTGTTCCATCTGCTGACATGGCTCTATTTTAAATGCTTAATGAACCTTTTTTATAACGGCCTTGGGGTAAGTTGAGATGAGAAGGGACTTTTGCCTTGGAGAGGCTTACAGAGGAGAGAACTGTCAAATGCCCCGGACTGTTAAAGGGCCTGACTTCAGTGGGAACTGGGGCTGAAGTCACCTGGCCCCAGGAAACAAAGAGGTATCTTGGTATAATAACAGAGATTGCCACATAAACTAAACCAGGTTTGTGCCAGGCATTGTTCCAAGTACTTTCTGTGTATAAGCTCACAATACCCCTGTGAGGTGGGTGCCTTTTGCAGGTAAGGAAACTGAAGCACTAAGGAGAGACTGGATTCAACCCTTAGCTGCTCCTGTGGGTTCAGTACTCACCGGGGACACAGGGAGTCTGGGAAGGGAGCCAGGAGTGCAAGCTGTTCAGGCTGGGTCCCTGCCGAGGGGCCTACAGAGGCCCTACCCCCACCCCAATCCACACAGTGGCCTCTGGCCTGCCCACTGCAGCTCTCAGCTCAAAGGCACTCTGAGAAAGGAAAAGCTGGTCTTCTTATCTCCTGGGGGAAAGGAATGCACTCTCCTGCCAGGATAAGTGGCTGTTCGGACAGGAAGTCTCCACCCTGGCTGGGAGTTCCTCCCAGCCACCCTGCCACCCTTTACTCCTTCTGGCTGTCCTGCCTCTGGCATCCCCATGCTCATCCTGCTTCAACTCCAGACCCCAACACCTGCAAAACAGTCCTAACCAAACTAGTGGTCCCCCGTATCAGTGGCCCCTGCACAGCTCCAGTCTCCCATGGTGGTCAAGAGATCTGGACCTGGGAGTCATTCCGCTGCCCCGTTCTTGCCTGGCCACCCTCTTCCCGCAGCAGCTGAGAAGGATGTGGGAGGTCAAGTGCCCCCTGCAGGAGGCAGTAAGCATGACACTCATAGTTATGTAAGCAGGACCACCCTCCTGCCAAGAACCATGCTGGAAATAGTCAACCTCTCAAATCCCCCAGCTCAGCAGCCAAGGGCAGTTCTCCCCAACCCCAAGCTCTACCCAAGAAAGGAATGGAGCAGATGCTGTCTTAGAATCCCATAGCAGGAGATTCGGTGCCATAGGACCCTAGACTGTTCGTGCCAAAGGGGTTGTTAGCCCCAAATCCATTTTACAGATGGGAAGGCTGAGGCCTGAGAAAGGAGAACCCCACACCACACAGGTAGCAGCTGGCCAGGCAAAATCAGAACCCAGTGTAGCCAAGCTCTCATCCAACATGTCCTGTGGGTCCCCCCCAGGCCCTGTGATGGCTCTCATCTCTCTGCTGTCCCTGCATGGCTACCTGCCAGGTCAGGGGCAAGAACTATGTTCTTATTTCCTCCTGCGGCCCTATCGCATAGACCCAGGGGGCATGACAAGCATATAAAACATTATTCATTAATAAGCAGTGGAAACAACCCAATGGTCTATCAACAGATGAATGGATAAACAAAATGTGGTACATACGTACAATAGAGTATTATTCAGCCTTAAATAGGAATGAATTCCTAATACATGCTACAACATGGGTCAACCTTGAAAATATTATGTTATGAGAAAAAAACACAAAAGGGCAAATATTGTACAATTCTACTTATTTGAAATACCTGGAATGGGCAAATTCATAGAGACAGAAAACAGAATAGAGGTTACCAGGGGTTAGGGGGAAGGGTGGGGAGTTATTTGCTTAATAGATACAGGTTCTGTTTGGGGTGATGAAAATGTTTTAGAAGTAGTTGTCATGGTTGCACCACATGGTGGTTGTAATTAATTCTGCTGATTTGTACACTTAAAAGTCGAGGTGGCTGATATTATGTTGCATATATTTTACCACAATAAAAAAATAAAAAAGCCATTTCCTTCCACAGTGTCCCCTGCAGGGACCACTCCTGTATCCTTGTTTCCAGCCACAGCTCCTCTCTGCTTTGCAGATGTGGAAATGCAGAATAAAGGAGCTTCCTGGCCCAGGCTGATCAGAAAGTGGGATGAAGTAACTGGTACAGACTCCTTCTAGCCGGGGCCTCAGACACGCCTACCACAGCAAGCTGCCTCCTCAGGTGGAAGCGGAGGTGTGGACACTTCATCTCTCGGCTAGCAGGGCCCACCAGTGAGCCAACTGGCCCCGGTTCCTCTGGGCATCTTTGGGCAGAAAGCACCGTGTTCTCAGGAGTGTAGTAAGAACTCGTGGCTCCTTCACTGACATCTGGAATCTATGGAGTTGTATTCAGGGTTTGGGAGTAGGGGTGCAGGAATTCGAGACACAGTTGTAAAGAACCACAGCCTGCATCTTCTCAATATCAACCATGCCCAGTTTCCACCAAAAACTTCAGCAACGTCAAGAGCACTGTAGACCCAGTCTTGCTTTTAGAATATGTTCCCACTTTCACAACTCTCAGGCATATCATAAGGACCCCACGCCTGAGAGCAGTGTTTAATCAGGGTCCCACTTAATGAGCACTGGCCTTAAATGAACATGCCTTTAACGTGGGCTGCCCTGGGCTAGTGCCCTGCTGTGTTCCCTCCTTCAGGGGGGCTGGCAGGGGTGCTCTGCTCTGAGCACCCGCAGCCTTCTGGCTCTGAGAAGGGAAGGCAGGACAGAGCACTTGCCATCTTCCTGGGTTGCTGGAGGCCCAGAGAGGAGGCAGTTTGCCCCAGTGTGCTCCTTTAGCATGGGTTCCCTGCCTGGCAAGCTCCTCTGCATGACTTTCTGCAGGGTGCTCATGTGTGTTGTATGAGCCAGGCATGCTTCCCCATCAGACTAGGAGCTCCTCAAGGTCAGGGACATGTTCCCCCCTCCTTCAGGATCCCCTCCTCATCCTCAGATGGATGCAATCACTGGGGAGCTAGGTGAATAGGGGGAACCATATCCATCATAGGGGGACAACACCCATTGTCTAGGACTATTTTTCAACAGAGCCTGGGAAGCGTTCTGATGACTGATTAGCCTGAGGCTTTGGTGTGGGGGGTGGCACAGGTGTAGGGAGGAGAACAAATAGGAAGGGTAACACTCCTCTAGGTGGAATTGGTTGATGCACCCCAGGGACCTAGCCTGTTAAGCCAAGTATGGTCTTGGCCCAGCAGCACCAGCATCAGCTGAGAGCTTGTTAGATGCGCGGATCTCAGCTTTCTCCCTACTCTGTCCCCCACCCCAACACACACCCTGTAGAACTGGAATCTTCATTTTAACAAGATCCCCAGTTCTTGAAGTTTGATAACCACTGTTTTGGAGTACAACCCAGGGACTCGAGGGAACTATTGCTTCCAAGATAAACAATGGTAGTGATAATATTTATTGAGCACCCACTTTGTACCAACTTTGACCTTCAGGCTATGTTATCTTTTTTTTTTAAACTGAAGTATAGCTTTACAATCTTGTATTAGTTTCAAGCATACAACACAGTGGTTCAACAGTTACCCATGTTATCAAGTCCTCACCCAGGCCTGTATTATCTATTTTTGCTTTGACAAGGTAGGCACTATTACCTACCTTTCAGAAATTAGGAGAGCAGTCCAAAAGGTTAACTGATTTGACCGAGTCTGTGTAGTAAGTTATAGCTGAGTGGAATCTGAACACAGGGTCTGACTCCAACGCCATGGCTCTGATCAGTACAGTATGAGGCAGTCTTTCAAACTGGGCCAGCAGCTACATAGCCACTTGTCCATGCTACAGGGCCCAGGAATCCATTGGCAAATGCAATCCTAGGGAGGCCTCGCAGGGACTGCCCAACTGCCACTGCTGGCCTGGGCTGTGTGCCTGTGCGCTGGCATGGGCTAAGCCTTGTGGAGAGGGCTCACTGTTTCTCCAGAAAAGGCCCTGAAGATGACTGGCACAGCCCCTTCCCCAGTAAGCATTAAGGTCTGCAACTGGCGCTGGGTGAGCAGGCCTGGGGTGCTCTTCTGCCGCAGCTCAGGAATCTCCAGCACTCATTTCATCGGGGCCCCATTGTGAGGATAAAGGGGAGCCAAGCCAGGGGAAGCCCACACTGGTCCTCCTTATACCTTTCACATGTATGAGGCAGCACTTCCTCTCCTGCTGCACCCCCAGCAAACCCCCACTCCCCTCCAACGGCAGCCAGAGGCTCCTGGGGCACAGAGCAGGCCCAGCTCCTCACAGCCCGGCCTTTAGCTGGTCCTCTCTGCCCCACCTACTCACAGCCTGGGATTGCCTATCGGGTTCTGTGTGTTTGTAGATGGTCACCCCAGTCCCCACCTAAATGTGAGGGACTTGAGGCATGTCTCCCTGACTTGGTGTCCCTCACAGACCCACTATAATGCCTCTCAATACAGTAGGTGCCCCCTAAATGCCCGAGCCAGAATGTGCTATCCAGTGCCCTTCTACAGCCCTGTGGAGCGCATTCTGCTCACTCGCCACAGCCAAAAGGCCCCTTCCGTGGACAGGAGCACAGGGCCCGGCGCGAGAGCTGTGATATGTCAGCCAGTCCCTCAGGGTATCACCCTCTGCTTCCTCGGAACCGCCAGCTGCTCAGACTGAGGTGGGTGAGGCTGGCAGGGTAAAAGGGCCTCCCAAACCAGTGATTTCATGCTGCAGGCATCCCTCCCCAGATGGCTGGCCAGGCAGCCCAGCAGGGCAAGACCCCTCCTGCTCACGGAGCTGGAGCAAACTCAGGGGTAAAGCTTAGCAGTTAGCTCTCACTTCCTCCTGCAGCCTTCAGTGGGTCGGGTCCCCACAGCCTCTGCAGCCTGACTGTCCCTTTCTCTGCTTTCCACCACCAAAGCCAGCAAATGTAAATAACGGCATGGAGAGAGTGGGAGGTCCCTGAAGCCAGGGGCCCAGGATTCTGGTTGCTCTTTCTGCATCAGAGGTAGGCTCAGAACCAGAGGAAGGCCTGAGGTGTGCCTGCTCCTGCCCCTTCTCCTTCTGGGCATGAGTGGGGACCACTCCATCCACAGAAAACCTACCAATGACCAACCCAAAGAGCCAGGAATTCAGGGCACCTGAGGTATCATTTTCTCCCTTTCCCAGAGAAACATCAAACACCCATCTACCTTCAAAAGAAAAGCCACCAACATAAAGTGTGATTCCACAGCTAGAACAAACTGAACGGAGGAGCAGGCCATGCTTCCTACTCAGGTCAGTCGAGAGAGGCGTGCGGGGGCGTGAGGGCAAGATTGGGGGTGGGGGTGCACAGAGTTCAAAAGAGAAAAAGACTGGGGAGGAGAACAGAGAGAGATTAACCTAAAGGAAGAAAGTGAGGTGGGGGGAAAAGGAGAGAGAAACCAGGTATGTTTTGAGGAATGCTAGAGGTCACAGCTGGTTGCTGGCTCTGGTTGCAAGAGTTCAGAAATCCTTACCAGGATATGAGCCTTTGTTGACAATGCTTCATGATTCTAATCTTTAAAAATTCCTCTGTTTGAGGTGAGGCTCAGAACCTCACCCCCCCTGTTTTGAGAGAAATCTTCTGCATCCGTGGATGTTTTGCTGCCCTTGTCTAGCTTGGATTAATACTTAGTCCATAGGCACACACCTGATCATCTACATTTGCCCTCGTACACCACTAAACTATGTTTTCTACTTTATCTTGCATCTACCTACCACTTCAGCATTTTATTAAAAATAAAAATAATAATAATAATAAAGGGAGAAATATGGGATCAACATATAAATCAAGTATAAAAATCAAACGAATATTCATATTTGACCTGATTGTTTATAGTTCATAATGCGTGATCAAAACCGAAAGTTTCTGTGATGAATGCCCTTGTACTGTTCACCATGTAAGAATTTATTCACTATGTGAGAATTCGTTCACCATGTAAGAACTTGTTCGTTATGCTTCAGAAGATTGGAGACTGATGAGAATTAGGCTTCAGATGGATTAATGATTGTACATTGAGCATTGACCCCCCCTATACAGAATTTTATTGTTGTTAACAACCATTTGATCAATAAATATGAGAGATGCCCTCTCAAAAAAAAAATTCCTCTGTTTGATTCCTTAATCTTTCCCCTTTCTGGGTCAAATATGCCTTTGAGAATCTGGCAGTAGTTCTGGACCCCTTCCTAGAAAAATATACTTATTCACATAAAATTTCACATGCACTTTCGGGGGCTCATGGGTCCTAAGTTAAAAATTACTTGTTCTAGAAGCTCCATTCTGATTGAGATACCTATAATGGCTAAAACAAAGACGCCTCAACTGCAGGATTAAGCTAAAACAAGGGCAGGAAGTGTTGAATCTTAAGTGTATTCAAGCCAGCATACTTTTAACTATACCACTGGCTTCTTGGACCTAACCTCCTTTCCCTATTTCTATCCCCACAGTGGTACTAGAACAAGGTTGGTCACTTGAAGAGGACAGCTGAGTGTATGCACGGTTATTATTCAGTAAAAGTCTGCCTCTGACTCAGGTAACAATGTCAGTGTTTACCTTGAAATTAACACTAAAGATCAATGGGGTTACTAAATCACACATATGCTGTAGTCCCCAAATCTGAAAGTGCATAAATATTATCAGTATGCTGGTTTAAAATGCAGATTACTAGACCAAAATTTGAGAGTCTGATTCAGACTGTTTTCTAACGAGCTTCTGATGATTCTTATGCAGACAGTCCCTCTGACCAGACCCTGGGACACTGTTCTTTCTCACAGAAAATCCTAAATCTGGGAGGCTGAGCTTCTGATGCGGCAGACCACTGGATTCCCTCCTCACTGTGGGGCCCTCCTCTTACACCAGGGGCAGGATCAGGCACATGTACAAGAGTACTGTGTGGCTAGGTTTGGACCACTGCTACCTTTGGAGGCTAAAAAAGCTAAATCAACAATGTGGGACATAAAAGAGAGAGCACCAGGTGAAACCGCCCATGGGCCTTTCGGGCAGTGGTTCCTACATCACCTGAAGTCCTTACAATCCAGATTCCCAGGCCTTGGGTTGTATTATATATACTAGCAACTAGCTTCCCCAGTGGCTCTGACACATGGAAAAGTATCAGAACTTACTTGCTTGTGGTACCTACAGGCCCAAGGGTGTTTTGATCAAGATACCAGACCATTATTGTAAAAATGCTCTGAAAAACTACATGGCCCATAGACTTCTCCGGCAAAACCAGTGACTGTCACCAGGGCTTTCTTCTTTCCCCTTTTCCTCCTCTTCCTCCTCCTTTGTCACTACAGAGACTAACTGGAGAAGGTGAGCACACTGGGATGCCCTGACTGGTCTCCAGATGGTGAGGGTCAGCTGCTCCGCCCTTTGCCATGGGGTACTACACCGATATTACTTTCTGGCTGCAGAGTGACATGAAAATGGTTGGAAGGCACTGGGCAGGTGTAAAACAAACCCACGGAGGGCGAGGGGCCACGCCCTCCGGAGGAGAATGCGGAGGTATTTTCCGATTCTCTACAAGTTGAAACTTCACACAAAAAGGACTCCACAGTGTACCCAAAGTGGTCCACATGGAGCTTGGCACCTGCTGAGTGGTGGGCATGGGGCGCCAAGAGAAATGTGGGAAAGACAGTCCAGCAGAGTGGCCGTCACGGGGAAATCTGGGTGCAGCTCACAGCTGCTCTGCCACCGAGAAGGCACCCCCAGCGATGAGACTATCTACCATTTGTCTGGAACCCCCAATGGCAAAGCACTCTTTTTTTATTTTTTTATTGTATTTCCTCAATTTAAGTATGATTTTTTTTTTTTTTTACATTTTCATTTCCTGAAACTTTTGGCGTCTTACAGTCAACATGTAGATTTAATATCATGTTTTTTTCCACTTGGAAACTTGGTGTGTTTTAAACTTGATGACATCTTAGAACTGAGGAAATAAGGTTTATCACCTGATTTAATCTCAAAGTAATCTATGGGGCAAAGATCATTAATCCCTATTCTCCAGAGGAGGACACTGAGGCACAGGCAGGTGATGTGCCCAAGGCCACAGGGTGAGGATGTGACAGGGCCAGGACTGGAGTCCAGTCTTCCTGGGCCTCCTCCCCAATGTGATGGATGCCCATTTGTTCACAGGACAGGAACTGAGGATCATGGGTAAGCGCTGGGGAGAAGTGCTCTGAAAAGTGGTTTCCCCAGGGTCACTGCAGTGTGAGAAAGCAAAAAGCGACCTTCCTCTTACTTCAAATAGAAATTTGAGAAAAAAATAGAAACATCTATAGGGTTTATTTTGTTGCTGTTGTTAGTTTTGTTTCGACTTTAGGAACTTAAAACTGTGCCATGTGCAACTACTCATATAATGACCACATTCAGCATGTTTAAGCTTAGAATGGTGTTCATTTGGACTATAATTATAGATTAATGGTTTGAATTTATTATTTTATCTACCTTTTGAATGTTTTTAATGATTTCTTGCAAATGGGATGCTGGACCTTAAGAAATCTAGCATTTTGGTTTCTGCCAGTTTAAGAGGAACAGGAAGTTTATCAGAAGAAATCATCATCAAAATAATAAAACCAAAAAGTTATTCTCCACAATGTTCAGTAAGTGCCCATTTTCTGGAGAGCAGCTGGGGGTGGGTAGAGAAAGAGGACCCCTCCACACATACACAAACACCCACACAAGTTAAAGAAAAACTAGCCATTATTGACATATAATATTTCCAGTCCTTAAAAACGCCCTTCCAGGGAGGTATTCATTTCCATCTTATGGATGAGTGAACTCTAAGGGCCTCCGTGCCTTGCCCACAGTTACGCAGGTGGACAGGAGCCTGTGCTGTGGGAGCGCCAATCATAAAATCACATCTTACTGTCATTAATGATGATCTGCCCCAATCATCTCCATGTTTCACGAGGACAGGGCCCATATCTAGTTTATTCTCTACTCAGGCACCCAGTAGGCACCAGCAATTACTGCCTGGGGTGAGTGGATAGAAGGCAGACAGGAGGGGAGGCTGGGAGAGGTGAGCCAGCAGCGTGCCGGCCCCTCGAGCGGGCGCTCTTTCCACCCACCCCCTCAGCCTCTTCAGATGCTGTGCTCCACCAGTCTGTTCAGCGGCTTCTCTCCTATACCTCGTATCACACCTCCATGGCTACTTTGAGTGGTGTTTCCTAGGATTGTCCACCTGCTTTCCTGGAGCCTGACCTGCTCTGGTTCCATCAGTCACTCAGCAAAATGTAACGGCAAGCCAGCCATGCACCAGGGACTCTAAGGTGCTGGATAAACAAGGCAATGAGATGTGATGCCCGTCCCTGGGGCTCCCACAGTCCAAAACAGTGACTCGCCTTCCCACCTCGGCTCTGCGTGCCCTCTGAGCCCACCAGGGGAGGATTTTGTGGAGCTGCCTGCGCAACTCTCTTAGTTTCCTGCAGCACATCAGCTCTTTCTGAAGCTTTGTTTTGTTATTTTCACAGATACCAAAGGATGGCTCAAACTGAGTTTCCTGTCTACCTTTCAGCATGCTCGGGTGTCTTCACTTAGGGCCCGTCTCACATGCTGGCAGCCACGAGGCGAGCAGCAGGTGTCAGGCAGGCAGGGTCATATAAAGTTCGGCCCTGAGTGTGCGATGGACGTTATGGGAAGAACCAGCCTCAGGAGCTGGAAGAAGCCTTTGTCTTCCAGGTGAAAAAACAGAAGGTAAACAGCCCCCCGCCCTCATCACTGGTGGAATTGGCTGCTCTGGCCAGGGTCACCTACTCTGCATGCTGTTGGGTGAGGGGTTTGGTTGAGAAGGGACCACAGCCACTGACTTCTAATAAATGATGAAGCTCTAATCAAGTTTTATTATGAGGCAACTGAGACCCAGAGATGTCAGGGTTCTGGCCCAGAGCACCCCGGACAGCCGTTGAAAGGCCCCAGTTCATGCAACCACAGGCCCCTCCCACTTCACCATGGAGCAACTTCTCCAAATGCTCCATAAACATCACATAGTAACTATGCTGCTTGTTTTGTGATTCAGTCAGCAGCATCGAGAGGAGCAGCGTGAGCTTGATGGTGAAGAAGGACAGGGCCCCTGAGGTCAGGTGCCGGGATTCAAATCATGCCTCCATCGCTCACTAGCTGTGTGACAGTGGGGAGACAACCTCTTTGAACTCAGTTTCCTCATCTTCGTGGTGGGGACAGTGATAGCACACAGACCCTATGGACACTGTGAAGGTGCAGTGAGATATAAAAAGCACAGCATGGTGCCTGACGCATAGTGAGTGCTCAGTGAACATTAGTTATTATTACCCTCCCTGGTCACTATGCCCTCTTCAAACCTTAAATTTAAGAAATCTGTAACATTGTGAATTGTCCCACAACTTTTTTTTCTCTTCATAATTAATAATTTCTCATTATTTTTTCTGTATACTGACAAGCAGTGATATAGTTAGTGTCTCAGAAAGTATTAATTGTATCTGGGCCATCTGATATAGAATGTCTGACAAGGGCATGGCAAGATTCCCAACACACCAGCCAACATAGACATCTGACCTGAAAATCTGACAGCCTGTTGGAACTAAGTTTGAAAGTATTAAGATCTGGATACTAGTTTATGGACCACCTTTCTTATCATTTGACTCACTGTTGCAGAACTACAACACAACCCCTTCATTCCATTTCAATTTTTTAGAAAAGTGACACAAGTCTTGGAGAAGTGGGGGAAGTTTTTCCCTTCACATCCTTAGACCCTGTGTTCAGGGTGAAGAAGACTTGTTTGGGCCACAAATTTGTGAGGCAGACATTATCTTCCCATGCAGATCATGGCCACATGGAGTGAGAATCCAGGCCTGGGGCAGGCAGAGACCCCAACCCAGCCATCTCGTGTTGCTCTCATGGTGCCCACGGGTGAGCTGATTCAGGCACCTGCCATCCACTGGGACAGGCTATGCATGAGAAACACTAAACATGCAAAGCGTACTAGGAACCATGCAAGTGAGTGTAGTTTAGAGTGAGAAGGCTTTCTCACTGAATCACGGAGGAGCTGGCCGAGATGTAAGGGAGGAAATGGCGTGTCTGGCTTCATGTGCCTGACATGGTGCTGGCTGCTTTCCATACAGTATTGCAGGTGGCCCGGTCAGCAGGGCATGCGACCTTGTGGGGGTTCATGGGTGCGTCCATTCACACAGTCAGCGGTAAAACAAAGATTTATGGCAGGATCTTGGCAAAACTTTATTATTTTGGATCATAAACTAACAACAGAAAAATCAATCAAGGGTCTCATTGGTTAAAATAAATCTTATTTACTGGCATTTAAGGAGGGAGTGTATGTTCCTGATGGTGGTGGAGAGAAGATAGGGCAGGAGCTGGGGTGGGGAGGGAGGGGATGGAAAAAATGAAGAGGTATTTAGAAAGAGCTTAAGAGAATGAGATCACAAAATTGTTTCTGAAATTGCATCTGGTCTTTATCTCTACCCCCATGGCTACTGCGCCAGCCCAGGCTGTGCTTTCCCTTGCCTGGACAATTGCAACTGCCACTGAACAGTTCCCTCTGCC